GATGCTGTGGCTGCTGCTGCTGCAGGTGTTGGTGAGCTGCCTCTGGCTGGGACACAGCGAGGTGGTGATGTCCTTTGAAACTTCATGTCCTCAGTTTTTTTTCCGGGAGATCCCCCCAAATGCAGCTCTGGAGCCGCAGAACCCAGCCTGGATCTGCCAGCGCTACAASAACCAGTATTACTTTGCCACCYTGTATGACAGAAAGATGCGTATTCCGGTGTACTCTGCTTACATCTACCAGCCTGGACCTGGCAAGAGACCTAAAACATGGCTGGTTGAGCCCCAGGTGAGTGTCTCTCTTACAGCACATCACCCTCCAGTCATTAAAAGCAGKATTTAAGTAACCACTTCTATTTCCTCCCACCCCCTACTCACATGCAAATGGACASACTGGATGAGATTGTTTTCATTTAACTTCAAACACCTGCACCACAGGATTCCTCCGGTGCATCTGAGACATCAGGAGGAGGATGAGATGAATCATATCCCAAAGGTGTCCAGTTTTCTGCCTTGACCTGACAGGAAAATCAAATCAAATTACCTTACATTACATTACAAAGTCAAAGAACTCACTTTGCCCTTCCTTGCTGTAGTGGGAAGCCAAGTGATTGGGAACTGGCATCCATCAGCAGCTAAATTTGAGGAATCAATGTTCCTGCTGGCCTCTGATCCCCACTTTGCTCTGAGCTGTTCTCCATCCCTGACAGAGCTTATYTGCTCCCAGTGAAGAGTCAGAGACTTTGTGAGTGGTGTGAGAGAAGTGAGGAGAAACTCAGAAAGGGGTGAGACGGCTCAGGGACAAAGCCTCAGCAGGCACAGGCACTGGAGATAAGAGGGTCAGGTTAGCACTGGGGGGATTTCTGGAGTGACATTTCAGGCAGTGCAAAGTGAGGAGCATCAGTGTCACTCCAGTCAGAAGGGTGTGATCTCCATCCATGGGCAGTGGCCCCTGGGCACCTTTGGCTCAGGCTTGGTTCAGATGGATCCAGCAGACACCCAGATCTGCACAAGCTACAGAGCTCTCCCAAACATCCTTCAGACAAACTTCAGACCTTTAAAAAAACAGGCCAAGGAAATAATGGACAGCAAAAGGAAATTGCTGTCCTTGATAAGGACAGAGTAGTAGAATTCATTTAGGTGAAAATGAATCACAGAAGAAACCCATTTACACTCTTTCAAAGGAAGGCTAAATACAATACACTAAATGTGAAATGAATTTCCRAAATAAAAAAATCATTTGCACTTGTTCCTCATAGGAACTTGACCAAATAATGGTATTGCACCRCATCAGGACCAGACAAAAAATGGGATCTTGACACCCAGAGATTTCTGTTCCAGGGAAATCTGTTCCATTATTCCCATGCCAAATATAATACCTTTTCCTTTTCTTCCTCTGTCAAGCTGATCAACCCAACTTATCCCAAAACGATGGAAAAAGAGTGGACACTCTTAAATCGATACAATGTCAGCTCAGAGGAGCTCAGCCAGAGCCAGGCGATCCTTCATGACTACAAGAACCTGACGGGCTTGAACCGGGGCCATTTGAACCCCAATGGCCACCATGATGACTACAGCAGCAGAGTGGCTACCTTCACCCTCACCAACATAGTGCCCCAGGATGAGAAACTCAACRGTGGTGCCTGGAACAACTACGAGCAGCAAACGATGATCAGGAATACCCAGGGCTGTACCACCACCTACGTCATCGTGGGTGCTGTGCCTGGGAACAACTACATCGCCAAGGGGAGGGTTAACAAACCCAGCCACCTCTGGTCAGCTGCCTGCTGYGTGGTGGACAACAACTATTTAAARGCTTGGGCGGTCATTGCYGAGAAYGACAGGAACCAGGTTCAGCTYCTCAYGCTGGGGGAGCTGGAGGACACATTGACCGAGCTCTATGGGAGGGGACAGGTTTCCCTGTTTGACAGTGACTGTCCTCGAGAATAAGACTCACGTCCTGCGTGGAAAAGCTTCAGGAGCTTTTGCTAC